TTGGTCACCTCTGAAGTGTTTCTTCTGAACTCGTATCGTCACCAAGTTGGACAAAGGAGCCTAAGGTGGCAGTTTATTTTATGTTATTTTTTTTCCTAAGCTGGTAGCTTTTTTTTTTTTTTTGGGTACTGGGGATCGAACTCAGGACCTCGTGCTTGCAGGGCAGGCAGTGCACACCACTGAGTTAAATCCCTGGCCCTTTAAAAATATATTTTAATGAATTAATTTATCTACTTTCTGGTCCTACTATCTTATAATTAAGAACCACTGACAGGTAACAGACAAACCTGGGTCTAAGTCCTCACTCTACCACCTTCCTACTTGTTTGAGTTCCTCGGACCACAAAAATGAAAACAACAGTTGTAATGCCTGTATTTCACAGTTATTGAGGAGTAAATAAAGTGATACATGTAAAATGCATGGTACAATGCATCAGACATAATTATCACTCAATAAACTATTATTTGGGCTGGATGTGTAGCTCAGGGACAGAGTACTTACCTAGCAGGTACAAGGCTAGGGTCCCTAGCACCATAAAACAAAATAAATTTTAAGTAATGATAATAATAATTTGGAATACAGTCTTCAAAATAAGGAAATAATGCAGTAACTATTATTCTTTTGAATAGTAAGTGAAAATTTCCAGAAACTAATTTCCTATTTTTAATAACTTTTTTCAATATTCTCCTCTGAAAGGAGAAAAAGCAGGTAAGCAAGTATCTATATAATATATGAGAGGTAGTGAGGTAGAAGTGGAGTAGGGTAGAGTGGAAAGACACACAGCTTTAGAGCCTGATGCATCTGAGTCAGAGATTTCATTCAGTCACTTAGTTATAATCATGTATAACCCTGACGACTTAAACTCACTCAATCTTGTAAGGCTGTTTCAAGTATTCCTAAGATAGGTAAATTACATAAAGCATCAAGCCCAATTTCTAACACTCTTAATAGTACTTATTACACCATTTTTCTTACCCATGCTTTACAGTTGATAAAAACCAGCCTTCACGATCAGAGAAGACAGAAATTACTGGCAAATGGCAAATAAATTCTACCAGGCCAACGATGGACACTAATCTAATCAATTTAAGCACTAAAGCACTATTCTCTGGGTCATATACTTCTTCCAGAATCTGATGAGAACAGGGTCCCTAGTTCTTAGGAAAATTTCAGCGATTTCAGACAGCAATGTGTGTCAGGGACCTTGTATTAAGAGGAAACTAGCAAGGCTTTTCTGGACATACCACACAAAAGTCTGTAAGTTATCTAGTTGGTTTTGTGGCTGAACGATACATCAACTGGACTCACACTGTAGCAAGTAAATCTTGCTTTCTTAGACTCGATTTCTAAAGAAGTTAAAATGTTGTTGTGGTGTTGTATGTGAAAACGTAACTTGATAAATGGAACTACAAATTACAATTAGTCCGAATATTCCTAAATACAATGCTTGAACACATGACCCCAACACTAAACCAAAAAGGAAAAGCAAAAAGTCCAGAAAGGCAATAAATCTGATTGCATTCATTCTTTAAAAGTCAGAATAGATTCAAATAATCCAGTAAGCCTCTTGCGTAAATATCTATAATGTTATAGATAATGTGTTATAATTCACAAAGGTGGAGCCACCAAAATATAACTGAGCTACTTCAATTTACTGATTGAGTGTAGTTTATCCTTCTGCTCCGTGTGAAATGTTTTAATCCTTTGACTTAGCCTTCTTAGACTCGCTGAGTTAAAAACTTCATCAAACTATTTAGTGCTGTAAGAATGAAGTCAGAGTATCACGGACTCAGTTCTCCAAAAGAGCAACCCCCAGGGAGCTCGGTTCTACCCCAGTGACCTTGGTCCCAGAGTTTCCTCCCTTCCTCCTGCCGGTCCTTCCACGTGCTGCCAGCTGCGGTAACCCCAGAGGTGGCTTCGTGTCAGGCAAGGCGCTAGGGATGCACGAAGGGAACAAGGGTTGCTGACAGCACCCGGTCAGTGCCATCTCTCCTCTTGCACCAACTCCCTCAGCGCCGCGCGCGCAGCCCACAGATATCTCCGACCGGCGTCCTGCAGGAGAACCCCGACCTCCCTCCCGCGCCCAGCCCTGCGACCCAGGCTGCCGGAGCACGGTTTGGGGTCAAGCCGAGGAACAGGAATCCTTTATTCTACATCCCAAAGCCCGGCTAGGGAAGGGAACATCCCCAGAAAGGTGGGGACCAAGGCAGGAGGCAAGTAGGATGGGGAATCCTGCGCCACGCCACCTCCATCTCCTCCACTTTCAGGGCTCCCTGGAGGCCATTCCCGGTCGCCAGCCTGCGGGCGGCAAGCCCTGACGCGGCAGGGCCAGCCGGAACCCTGCGGGCTCCGGGTTCCCGGGGACGCAGCGTCCTCACCATCAGAACTTTGGCCGCGTTCTCCAGCTGAGCGATCACTTCTGGGGGCCCCAGCGTCGCCGCCATCATGGTCTCTCTTCAATGACGCGCCATGCGCTGCATTCTGGGAGCGGGCGCCGTGGCCGGCCAATCGCCGCCGCCGCCCCGGAGCCTCACGGGCTCCCGAGGCTGTGGCCGCTGCCGTCGACGCCGGCGTCTTGGCTCTGGCGAGTGTAGCAGAGCAGCTGGGTCCTGGGCGGCCGGGAGGGGACTAGAGGAGCCTGACAACCGCTCTGGGGCGAGGGCGGCAGTAGCCCGCGCCAGGCGATGCCGGGCAAGAGGCCCAGACGGCTGCGGCCGCAGTGCGCCGCGCGCGCATGCGTGCTACTCTCCGCTCAGGCTGCACGGTCTAAACCGGCGCGCAGCAAGCTGTTCACACCCCTCCCTCCCTCGGCGCCCACCCTGGCGCGGACGCCTTCCCTCACTCTCAGTCGGTTGCGCTTCACGTCGCATTCCAGCCTTTCCTTGCCCTTCCCGGCTCCAGAGCCTTGCAGGATTTCTTAGCCTTGGGACCGCATTCCAGAACGCACTTTTCAGCGCCTCTCTGTCGCCAGCCTCCTGCTTCTCTGTTCTTTTTTGCCCGAGGAGCAAGCATCCCAGGATGGGACGCTTCATCGCCTGATGGAACTTCAGCTGGACAGCTATCCACAGGTCATTGAACTGCGCGTTACTGTGGAACCCCGGTGGAAGAGCCCATCCCTGGCACTTGCAGACTCCTCCAAGAGGGAGAAAGCAGGGCCGCGAAGCCCGGACACGACCTGGCTTCGTGAACCCAAGAAGACCTGTGTGTCCACCAGGTTTGTCTTGTATAAGGAATTTGTAATACCAGTGCTAACTTGGATGAAAATGGCATAAAGCGGATCTGTAATCCAATCTTCCAGTGCTTTAGTCTTTTTTACAACATTCCAAGCAACTAGTCCTAACATCCGCTATTTCTGTATTCATACCAGGCTTACCTGTTAGGTTGTTTGAACTGCATCTCTTTTTGTAACGTCTATCTTTTGGTGCTTGTTCTAGCTTCTAGTACTACAGAATCAAATTCATTCAGTATTTGTAAGTTTCTTCTGTTGAAATCTTTTTTTATTATTCTAATTATAAGACATTCTGTTAAAGTTGTGGGGTTTTTTTGTCACTGCGACAGAATTGCTTTATTTAACTCCACTGAAAAACGTGTTATTTCTTGTATTTGATATCTCTACAACATGAAGTTGAAGTAAATTGATGAGATTTGTATTGCTTGAGAAACTGAGGAAATACATAAGTTTCATTACCAGTCAAGTGACCCAAAATGCAGTTAATGGTCCGTTTTCCTTTAAGAATTGTGTGACCCTGCCTGGGTTGAAGGCATATGCCTGTGATCCCAGCACTCCAGGGCTGAGGCAGGAGGATCACCTTGAGTTTGAGGCCAGCCAGGGCTGCAGTGAGTTCAGGGTCACCCTGAACTACATAGCCAGCGAGACCCAGCCTCAAAGGCCAAAACAAAAAAGAATTGTGTGAATCTAAGTTGCTATCATAGTGCCTGACCTATGCTAGGCACTCCAAATTTTCAACGAAGTATGGCAGTGTGCAAAGATTACAAAATAACTCTAGCTCTAATTAACCAAAGATCAATTATATACCTGCAAATAATAATAAGTAAATGGTTGGTGACTAAGTGTTTGAGGCTTAATGTTCATATTAAGCCTTGGATTCCAAGGCATTTGTTTTGTATAATTCTAAACAAATTAGGCCGTTTTTCCCTTAGGGTTACACCAAGGCTGGCTTTTAACTAAAGATCTTCCTGTCCCACCATCCAGAGTGAGATTACAGGAGTGTGACACCGTGCCCGATGTAGACAGGTTTTAAGAAACAGAAAAAGGGAATATAGAGAGAGGTACAATATTTGCCTAGTATACACAAAGCCCAGGGTTCCATCCTCAGCACTGCAAAAAAAAGAAGAGGAAGGAAAGAAATATGCTTCCTTTCAAATTTTGGATTTTGAGACTTTACAAAGTATGTTGCAGACATTGCAAGTAACTGAAAGCCAAGAATTTCAGGCAAAATTAAAGTTGTTGTAGGATCTCAATGTTGGAAAACACTTTCAAATTTACCTACTTGTTAACTCTTTTCCAATGCCTAACTCATTTTTTTCTTGATTTATTTTTTATAATAACACGGGGTAGGAGGTCTCACCATATGATCTTCATATCCTAAAATAGAAGAGGAAAAGAAAGTTTTTCAAATTCAAATAATTTGTCACTAGGCATGAGCAAAGTGTTTATAGACTAGAAAAGTGTAGATGCTTGGTTAAAATCAATAACATTTCACTAATGCATCCACCTCTATTTCAGAGTATTCTTTTCCATCTATGATGCCATGTACTCAAATCATTCCTACTTATTCTTCAGCAAAAGTAATTAGTTGAATATATTATAAACTTTTCCATGGGAAAAGGGTTGTTTTGTTTTTAAATGGAAATCAGTGGAATTTACTTTAATAGCCAAGTTTATTTTGTGTCTTTTCTAAATTAGTGCCTTTCTGGGAACATTTGTTAAACAAAAATATAACTGCTTATCTCTGCTGCTAATATCCTAATGCAAAGGAAAAGCCAACTGTTGTGCAAAACAGATAAAGATACTCTAAAACTAGAAGAGAATCTAGAAATTATAGATCTTAAGATTTGGAATTAGAAATATTTTAAGGATTCCCTGTTTTCCAGATTTAGAAACTAAGACTCGAAGAACTTATGCTGGGCATGGCAGTGGAGGCTGAGGCAGGAGGATCACCATGAGTTCAAGGCTACATAGTAAGTTCAAGGCCAGCCTGAACTACATAGCAAGAAACTTGTCTCCAAAAAAAAAACCTTAGGACATGGCCTAGAGTCAAGCATCTTTTGTTGTTGTTGGAATTGGAATCAGAGGAATTGGATTTACATTGTATCTCTGCTTCTCATGAACTGTGTTTACTGAATAAGGACTTCAGAACTTAAGTTTGATCATCTGTAAAATGGAGATCTTTCCAAGTGTGTGAAATTCAAAGTAGATAATACATTTGAAACAATTTTGTACAGCCATGAAATCTAATGTGAGTGTAAGGTTTTACTGTTATTATAGCATAGCGATCACTTGAGTACCTATTTTTCATAGTGCATGATGCTATATAAATCATTGAACTTGAAGTCATTGTCTTTTTTGGTACCGGGGATCAAACTCGGGTCCTTGTGCTTGTGAGGCAGGCGGCGGAACCACTGAGCTAAATACCCGGCCCTGAAGACCTTGTCTTTTCTCCCAGAGATTGAGGTCTAGTTGAAAAGATAAGACTGATACATTTAAAATAATAGCATTCGACCAAATAAATAAATAAATAAAATAATAGCATTTATCACTAAGAAACCTCCTCCTAAGTCACCTCACTTCTTTCCAGTTCTGCTATAAAAAATGTGTTTACTCGAAAGCGTAAGGTCCCGAGTTCAATCTCTTAAAAAATGTGTTTAGAGCCTGGTATGGTGAATGGATGTCTGTAATCCTAGCACTCTGAGAGACTAGGGGAGGAAGATCATAAGTTTTAGCAACTTAGTGAAACTCTGTCTCAAAATTAAAAATAAAAAGTTTGGGGATATAGCTTAGTGCAAAGATCCTGGGTTCAATCCTTTGTATAAATAAATAGATAGGTAAATAATTAACTTGGTATTTGACCCTGGTGGTTCCTGGCAGAGTACCTAAAGCCCTTAGAATTTCCTGGAGTGGTAAGATTACCTTTTGTTATTCATAACAAGTCCCTTTCAATCAAAATTTGAGCTAAGAAATGACAAGATAGAGTCCCTAGATCACCTCAGAATAGGCTGGTCACCAGAAAGATGAAGTGAATAGAAGACTATACTTTTGTCTTACCCATTATTCTCAGAGGACAAGAAAGAGTACTGAACATCAAACCCTTCATCAGTGAGATCCGCACTGGTGAGTATCTCCACCTACATCCAGGGACATACTCCAAAAGTAAGGACAGAGATGTCTATGCTTGGGATCCTTCTACATCTCATGCGAAGTCCTGCCTCATCCAGCTATTCATTTGTATTTTCAATAATAAAGTGGTAAATATAAGTAAAGTGTTCTCCTGTGTTGTGCATGTCATTCCAACCAATTATCAAAGTTGAACAGAGGATTCTTAGAATCTTGAATTTATAGCCACTGGATCAGATCTGTGAGTAGGTCCCAGGATTTATGACTGGTATTTTGTGACTATACAGGCAGTCTTGTGGGACTGAGCCCTTGCCTTGGGAAGTCTGCAGTAACTATAAATACTTAGTGTGATAGCTGAATTGAATTGTAGGATACCCAGTTGGTGTTGGAGAATCACAGATCAACATATGGGTTATTGAGATTATAAGAATTCTGTATTAATAGTGAATACCCCAATCAATTTGAGACTAATATTATAATGGTAATATTTCCATCACAATTAGCACATGAAGGGTACTAAGCTGTTTTCATTTAGTAACTCATTTAATCCTCACAACAACCTTGTGATATACTATTATTTAACCCAAATTACATGTGAAGAAATCACGATATATGGCAGTTAAGTTACATGCCTCAGAAATAATAATAATGAAGCCAAGCACAGTGACACATGCTTGTAATCCATTCAGTCTAGGAGGCCAAGGCAAGAGGAAAATTTGGGCTCAGATGGCCGATTTAATGATTCAGAAAGAGCCTGTGTCAAAATAAAACTTAAGGATGGGAGGGGCTGTGTTCAATCCCCAGTATGTAAGAAGGGAAGAAAGAAAGGAAAGCAGGAAGAAAAAGAAAGTGGAACTGGCATTTGAAATCACAGTGACTTTTCCAATTACAATTAAGTAAAACTAGAAATTAACAGAATAAGGAAAACTGGGAAAATCCACAGATACATGGAAATTAAGCAACACACTTCAAAAACCAAAGGGTCTGGGCTGGGGATTTAGCTCAGTGGTTCCGCTGCCTGCCTCTCAAGCACAAGGTCCTGAGCTCGATCCCCGGTACCAGAACAAAAACCAAAACCAAAGGGTCAAAGAAAAAAATCGCAAGAGAAACTAGAAACTAGTTGGAGACAAATGATACAAAAGCACAGTTTACCAAAAGTTACAGGATGTAGTAAAAGCAATGCAAAGAAGAAACGTGGATTCCACAGATTCCAAGTTCTTGTGTACAGCAAAGAGTTGCAAAATGCACTCTCGAAGGGAAAACAGCTATGTTTACTGAAGATCAATGGTTCTGGAGTGACAGAAAAGGAACACTGCACACCAATGCAGATAAATCAGGCTTTCAGGCTCAAGAGCAAGAGAGAGAAAAAAGACAACATGTGCTTTGGTCTGGGGTTACATGTGATGCCCTGGAGTGGCACCCAAGCATGAATGACATTTTTTTTAAGCCCTTCTTACTGAAATAATAGCAGAAAAAAAGGAAAATAATTTAACATACAGATAAGTGTGGCATAGTGTACTCCGTAAAACAAATACTACTAAACATAAAAGACCAGATAAATATAAAGACAATTATAGTGGGAAATCTCAATACTCCACTATCACAAATGCCAGTAGACAGATCAACTAGACAAATCAACAATGAAATATCGGAATTGAATAAAACCTTCAAATAAACAGACTTAACAGATATCATCACAGAGTGTTCCACCCAACGATAACAGAGTACACATTCTTCCCAACAGCACGTGGAACTTTCTCCAAAGTACACCACATACTAGCCAATAAAGCATGTTTAAGTAAATATAAAAGAATTAGCCAGATGTGGTGGCACACCTGTAATCCTAGCACTTGGGAGGCTGAGGCAGGAATATCGCTGTGTGTTTGAGGCTAGGCTGGGCTACATAGTGAACTCAAAGCCAGCCTGAACTACATAACAAGACCCTGTCTCAAAACACACACACAATAACAACAAAAAGCAAAAACAAAGGCATTAAACCCACCGATGAGGGTGCAGCCCTCAGACTCTTAAAAAAAAAAGAATTGAAATTATGCCATACTAATTATCAAATCATAGTGCAATAAAACTAGAAATCAACAACAGAAGAAAACAAATTATGCAAATAAGTGGAATCTAAACAATACACTCTTTAAAGATGGATTACAGAGAAAATCAAGGAATATGAGTTTTTACAACTAAACAATATGCAATACAATATGCAGTACAACACACCAAAACTTATGGGACAATTTAAGCAGTCCTAAGAGGGAGGTTTATAGCTGTGAATGCCCTCATCACAAAAACAGGGTGAGCCCAAATAAATATCCTAATGAGTCACCTGAAGGTCTTAGAAAAACAAGAACAATTCAAATTCAAACCTAGTACAAGGAAGGAAATTATAAAGATCAGAACAAAAATGAATGAAATTGAGACAAAAAATTATATAAAGAATCAATGTATCCAAGAGTTTTTCTTTGAAGGAATAAACAAAATAGACAAACCCTTAATCAAAATAGAAAAAAAAAGACTCAAAGCAATTTAATTAGAATTGAAAAAAGATGAAAATCACAACAAGCACTGTCAAAATCAAAAAGATTTTTAACAACTACTTCACCCCAACCTGTGCACCAATCAATTGGAGAATACAGAAGAAATGGATGGATTCCCAGATACATATGAATTACCAAATCTGAACAAAGAAGATACAAAAACCATGATCTAATAACAGGCAATGAAATTTAAGCAGTAATTTTAAAAACCTACCAAGAAAAGCTGGGGTCCAGATGAATTCACTCCTGACTTCTATAAAAACATCAATACTCCTCAAACTCTTAAATGAAATTGAAAGGGAAAAAGTACTCCCAAAGTCATTCCTGGAAGTCAGCATTACTCAGATTCCAAAACCAGACAAGGATCCAAACAAACAAACTAAAAAGAACTATAATCCAATGTCTTTAATGAATATAGATGCAAAAATCCTCAACAAACTAAGAGATTATGTAAAGGTGCAAATTTCCAATGATGAATGTCATTATATTGTATACCTAAAATGTACCAATAAAATAAAATTTAAAAAACAAAACAAAACAAAAAATCCTCAACAATATACTGGCAGAGGGGGAAAAAAATCTTCTCCCCCTTTTCATTTGTCCCTGACTTTTTCTCTAACAATTATGTCAATCGTAGAATCTTTTTCCATCCCCATTTCTCACTACCAATTTTGTATCCAGCTTTCCCTGTTATCCCCATCTAAATATATAGTATCATCATTAGTATCCTTTGCTCTCCTCCTAATTCCTCCTCCCCATACCACATAGAAGAAAACTTTCTTTAAAACCCTTTTTCAGGGCTGGAGATTTAGCTCAGTGGTTTCGCCGCCTGCTATGCAAGTGTGAGGACCCGAGTTCAATCCCTGGTATCAAAAAAAAGAAAGAAAACCCTTTTTCTTTTTCTTCTCTTCCCACCTCTGGCATTACCCAGTCTCCACTCCTGGGCTTCAGATAACTGATTCTATAAAATTACTGTGGAATGCTGTTTTTCACCATTAGAGGAGACATGCCCGTTGTATTCAGTGCATATTAACTGTGGACCAATACTTGGGCTGTTACAATGCTTACACTATAACTGTGGATTTCTTCTCTAGGCTAAAAGGAGGCCCAAAACAGGGCCTCATGGTATGTTATTTCACAACTATCCCTGATAGATACCACTATAACAGATTAGCCTGTTACTACGGTAGCTGATTTGATTGCATAGGAATAATCCTGTCATCATGGAGAATATCATGCCAGTAAATCTCTGGCTGATTCTAGCATCATACCCTGGAAGACAGAGCAAGAGTTTCCAACCCTAGAACTCGGTCTCGATCAGACTTTGCAAGGATGCCTGCAACCTGGCAGATAGAAGTCCTGAGTCTGAGTTAGCTTCAGTATTGCAGTCGAAGGATCAGAGGAGTTAATGGGGTGTGAGCACTCAGATTCTCTGGCAAAGAAGCTACTTGGAAATCATTTATGCAATGTCTCATTGGCATTTTAATCTGTGTTTCCATCAGACATCTCATAGGTTTAAGTTTTTAGGTTTTTTTGTTTTTGTTTTTGTTTTTTGTACCGGGGAGTCAAACTCAGGACTTTGTGCTTGCCAGGCAGGCATGGTGCCACTAAGCTACATCCCTGGCCCTAGGTTTAAGTTTTCATATGTTTCCTAATTTATTTAGTAATGTGGGGCTGTGTTATGTTCTTTAATGGTTCCCTGTGTTTATTAGGTTGTTACTTTTGTGTATTTGTTCTCTCATTGGCTCTCATTTGATATGTGGCTAAGTTCTCTCTCTCATCTCAGCTCCCTATCTAGTTTCTTCACCTTAAACCCCTGAAACAATATTATTAAAGTATCTCTTTATTATTTTTACAAAAACATAAACTCCTTCTCCCAAGTTTTTAAATTCCCCATGTTTAGCTCCCTCACAGAAGTGCCTGCTTTCTCTGGTATTAACTCTGGATGCTTTGGCTCTTCCATATCTTACCTAGCCTATTATTCTGCCTACCGGCAGGTTCTGACAAGCACATAACTTTCCTCAGTCACAGAGCTAACCTCTTTTCTCCTATATCTCTCCCTATGCCTCACAGATATCCTCTGATAACTCTCAGTATTAACCCTTCAGCTCGACTCAAAGTACCCCAACAGAATCACACCCCACACCAACCTTTTCTTCCCAACTACCACTATTCTCCCCTTCAAAGTTCCCACTTAGTGTCTGACACTCCTCACCCAAACATCTCCCCTTCTTCTCACCCCACCTCACTTACTTCATTACAGAATAATCACAAAAATAAACAGTCACACTGTGCATAGATGACAGACAAAGGGGGAAAGTATAATTCTAAGAACTCTCATATAGCAGTGTTGTGAGACTGAATCTGTGCATGCTGTTATATCCAGAAGTAATTATTTTGACAAAACATAGGGACAGAGTCCAAATCACTTCAAGCAAATAACAGAAGGAGTAAATACTAGCAGTGGCCATAAAAAGCTGAAAGTTATTCACAGGTAGACAACGTCCAATAAAAAGCTCCACATAAGCCATAAACTCTCCTCACTTCTCTAGGCCTCAGCCTGCAGCACCCCCCCCCCAAAAAAAGAGGGGTAGATA